CAGGCTGGGTGCTCTGCAAGGTGGCAAAAACCATGTGGGTTCATGATTGGATTTAAAAAGTCCATGATCTTAAAAGTGTTTTCCAAAATTATTCTTTAATTCTGGCTCCATACCTCGTGTCTCTGATTGTGGTGCCTGAGTCTTATTCCTGGAAGTGTCCAAGACCAGGTTAGACAGGGCTAGGAGCAACTAGTTCTAGTGGAAGGTGTCCCTGCCTATGCCAGGGGTTGGAACGAGATGGTCTATAAGGTCCCTTCCAAATCAAACCACTCTGGGACTTTATAATCTCCTGCATCACCCATCACCCAGTGATCCCAGCACATCTCTTTGGGTTTTAATAGCATGGGAACATAGTAGAAAAAACCCCATGGTAGTCCCAGTGAAGCTTTTGGGTTGTTTACCATGTCACATTTAAAAATCCTGCTTGTAGCCCTTATTTTGTCTTTTTTTTAGTGCAATATTTTTGTGATCAACTCTTTGGAGCACATGGAAAATTTTCCTTATTTTGGATTCCCAATGAAATCTAAAATTGAACTGAGTGCTACAGAATCATTTGGTGTCAGGGAGAGTGGAGGAAGGAGGAGGAAAGGGACGGATTAGTCCCAGAACCAAGAAAGCTCTTGCTGTTTTACTTTTAAGTGAATTTAACAACCATGTAAAAAAATAATCTTGAATTGGCAGTGAATGAACTTCAGTATTGATTCACCCCTTGGAAATGCCTGGGAATGCTGCAGATCCCAGGGAACACAGCAGGAGGGACGGTTGTACGGAGCAAACCCCCTTCTCCTGCAGGTGGACGGGAGAGGAGCAGGAGAAGCAGTAGTGGATTCCGAGCTGTGCTCTCCTGAACTCATGGAGACTTGTCTGCATGGTGGTAGTGATGGCTGGGAAAAAATACTGTGTTTAATACTGAAACAGAAATAATCCCCAAAGTTTTCCAAAGATAAAGGTGCACAGGCTGTGTGCTGAACCCAAGAAGCCAGGCTTGGCTTTATTCCATTGATTTTCAAACAAAAAATCACATTCCCATTCCCGCCCTTAGTGAAGGACCTAAAAGTGTCCAAGGGCAGAGCTTGCCTGTCACATCTGCCACAGGAAGCCCACACAGCCCCCTCAGTAGCCACAAATTCATGGTGAGAAAGGGAAGCTCCAGCTGATGTGGAGGTGATGCCACCACCCCTTCTCCAATTCCTTCCTCGAAGGACAGAGGAGCAGAGAATGCCAGGGCACTGAAGCAGTGGAAGCCCCCTTGGGTGCTGTTTTTGGACTGTGCAGAGCTGCCCACATGACATGAGCCCTGGCTGTCTCTGGCTTGGGATGGGAGAACACAAACACAAAGCAAATCCCCTTTTTGGCTTCCCCTTGTGAGCCAGGGAGGAGCTCAGATGTGTGGGAACTCTGAATTCCGAGTCATCAAAGAAACCTGAATGACCTTCCAGTAAATCAGGGAAATTGGGAAAGTTCTGGGACAGCAGGATGGCTGGTGGGGCTTGGCCAAGTGCTGGAGGGAGCCAGGCAGCTCTGCCATCCCTGCTGGCACCCACAGGGTTGCAAGCACTTGTTGCCAGTATCCAAAAACCAAGCAGAGGGGCCAGTTAGCATCCAAAGCCAATCCACTTCCTCCCCCATTTATTGAACTATTAAAGATAAATAAGAACCAGCTCGTACATAAAGAACAAAAAAGAAAAACAAGATACTTAAGAACTGGCAGCCAGGCTCAGCAATAAGTCATGGCACAGCCCCTGAAATGTCCCTGCTTGTATAAATAGGATCCTCCCTGGGAATCTTCAGGATAAATCCCTTACATTTAATCCCTGGAAGAGGAAGAGTATTGTGTATTGTGACACAAGAAAAATGACATTAAAAAAATAATTAAACAAAACAGTCACTGTACAGATTATTTATCTAAGAGCTCTTGTGCCAGAGCCTTCAGCCATCCCAAAGGACAACCAGTGCCTGAGGTTGGGAATATCAGCATCCTGTGGGCTTCATGGGATTTCATTTCTTTTAATGTTTTGGGGTTTTTTTTGGTTAAGACTCCAATCACTAATGTAACTTCTGAAGAAAGTCAAATAGAGCAACCAGGACATTGTTCAGCTGCTCAACTTCAGCAGGTTGATGGAGACATTATTCCAGGAATCTCCATGACTTTACTACATCTGGGAAATAGTTATGGTGTTTGGTGGGAGGGAGGTCTCCAAAACTAAATAAAAAAATTAATGCTCCAGCCACTGAGTCAGGAACACAACAGATCCAGTGCCCAGGCACAGCAAAATAAAAAAATAGGGAAAATCAATGAATTTATGGACAGATGGGGAGTATAGGAAGCTGTGTCCATGGTGTAGGTCACTGAGGTCCCATATCTCGTGGAAGTGATTGGCAATTGTTATCAAGCCACGAGATGTGTTAGACAAGAAAAAAAAGCTATAAGAAAAAATATTAGAAATAAAATCTCAAGTAAAAATATAAGGAAAAAAAATCCTAGGAAAAAGAGATATTAGGGGAAAAAATCTTGGGAAAAAAATATCACGGAAAAAATATCTTAGGGGAAAAAAATCTTTTCAAACCTGCTCAACATGTACAGCTGCTGAAACATCTGTGCTGAACATGATGACACAAGCTGGAATGGTGGCAGTTGGGGAGGGGGAGACGCTACAGGGGGGGGAAGGCAGAGGGTGAGGACAACCCCCAGGTGAGGGTCCTGTGGTCAGTCTGTGGCCAAAGGGGTTTTCTCACTTTTTGGGTGCTCCAGTAAAACTCCCAAATATGTTTTGGGGTCATCACTGTGTGTGGTGAAAGGAGGCAGATCCCTTCCCTCCCCTTACTCAGCTTAGGGTGATTAAATCAATGAAGGCTTTGGAGGGTGAGATCTTTGCCCAGGAAATTTTTCAGATCTTTAATTTATTTTTTTTTATCCTGTCCCCAAAAAATAACCAAGAGAGTGCAGATCTTAAACCCCCCTGAAAGTGCTGCTCAACAGGTGGACAGAGCAAAAGCCTGCTGCACAGGTAAGGACTTTTGGAGCTGTTGATGTGGGGAGAAAAATTTTATTCTCTGTCCTGGAACGAGATTTAAAAATAATAAAAAAGAAAAACTCAACAACAACAATAAAATAAACAACTCCAAAAATCCCTTGCTCCTGCATTGTGCTGGAAAAAAAATATAAGAAACTAAATAGAATAGAACAGAAATCTGCTTTAATCAAAACAACATTATGCCAAAACCCCTTTCAAGGGAAGGGAAAAGTCCACAGCAGCACAGCCCTGCTTAAAAATAGAACAGCCTTTGCCTTGTGAGTAACAAAAATACAGAACAACACACTCCTGCCATCTCAGCTTTGAAGGATGTCTGTCATATGCCTGGGCTTATTTTACGCCCCTTCCCTTTTTTAAAAGAGGAACAATGCCATCTTCCCGAAAGGAAATAGGCAATAAAAACTCCAGCAGGATTTCCTATTCATAATTTTTCCCATTCATATCCTAATGGGTGAAGGAAAGAAAAAAACCCTCCACCAGCTTTAACAACTTAAACGGCACTTATTAAATAGATATTTTTACATGCCTGGTTTTTCCTAAATGTGGGATATAGTTTTACAGTTCAATTAAGTATTTTTTTTCCTCCTTTCCAGATATCCTTCTCCGAGCCGGCTGAATTCTCTGCGAGCTGATGTAAAGCATCTGATGACAAAATATCAAATGTAATTCTAAAACACCCCGTTGAGTTTTTATCTGTGCCATTACATTTTTTAATTAATAGAATTTCTTCTTTTTTTTTTTTTTTTCATGGTTGTTGTTTTACAAATGTTGTGTTTTACTGCCGGTATGATCTCACTGCTTTACAGTATCGATAAATGAAGGCACACCTGCACTATAAAATCTGCTTTATATGAAGCAGGCCATTCATGTTTTTATAGCCCATTTTTCACCCATTGTTCTTGGGTCATGTCATAGGTGTGCTGTAATGTGTGCTGGAGGTGGGCGGCTCGAAGATCACTTCAACAAAATGGTCTAATTTTGCCAACTTTAGTGCCAGAATCTGGACTGAAAAATGCAGGACTAATATCCCCATGGACACTCGGCATGATGTCACTTCCCTGCAAATGTCCAAGACAAACAGCTATTTCCAGATCACTTGCACTTATAACATGATTTCTACCTCCTTTCTTATCCCCAAATTACTATTCCTGTGTTTTCGAGCAATTTTTATGTTAACTTGGTTAATGGCTGAACTTTCCTGACTCTGCGAAAGGCTCGCAGGGTTTTATTATGTTCCTTCATATATGACAACACTCATTTCAAATCTAAAGATATTTTTTTTTGAGCTGCAGACCTACAAGCTCTTTTTTTATGGGGCTTTTGTAAAACAGCAAAATGTGCATTCATGTTTCATTCAGAAGTTTGTGCACCCACACAAAAGGATTTTTTACAAAATCTGGTTACTTTTCTTCATTAAAAAAAAAAAAAAAGCTTCGAGAGCGGATTTCTGAATAATTTTTGTTTGTCCTTTCTTTCCCAGGAATGGGCTCTCCAGGCAGCCACTCCATCACCCAGCTCTGCTCACGCACCTTCCTCCTGATTTGCAGCATTCTCCCTCTCCAAGTGTTCTCCCTCCAGAGAGCAGTGGGGTGGGAAGATGCTGCCTGCAGGATGAAGGCCACCCGCCCCTGAAATCCGAGGCCTGGATCCTGAAACAGACTCTGGGCTCACTTCAGCTCCTGGGGTTTCCATGGGGCAAAGTTTTCCTGCTGCGAAGCTCTTGCCGGATCGGGGCTTAAGAGGGAATATTAATATTTTCCTCGCAGCCGACCTTCCCGAGGCTGGAATGCAGCAGATTGCCTCTGCCTGGCTTAATTCCTCAATACCTTTTATTAAATCCCCCCCCACCCCCTTTATCCATATTCACCCCACACACCACCACATCATGTTTCATAACATGCCTTCCAAGTGACAACTTTATGGCAGAGCCGAGAAACTTTTATTAGGATAACAAATAGAGCAGAG